GGGACTTAGTAACTAGTCATTGTACAGGTTTTAAGTACGTAAACCCTTATTAAATACCATACGCCCATTAGGGTACTTCTAAATCTACTTATCCCGGCCCTCCAAGTGAGTTTGATTAATGTAGGGCCCTTGATAACTAGAATAGGGTTTTGGGGTATATTATATTTTAGCTATGATAAAGATTTTTCGGAAATAGTGGTAATTATTCAGGCCCTATACTATTCATGCCTCGTATTGCCCGTGGACACCTGAGGCCGTGGCGTTTGCGATTGAAGGCCGTGTTCAAGAATCCCAGGCTTCCGGGGAAGGGGTGGAGGCTAAGGCTAAGGCCGGGCTGGGGCTAGGGTTTAGGGTTTAGGGTTTAGGGTTTAGGGTTTAGGGTTTACGGGTTTAGGGTTTAGGGTTGAGGGCTGTGTAGGCTTTCAGGGTTGTGGCATTGGGCTTGAGGGCGTGAGCTTTGTGCAGGAGCCAGGTTGCGTGTCTGTCCGTCACTACATCGATCAAGTTCCACCTAAACCCTACACCCAAGGGTCCAAGTACCTAATAATCATATACCCTCCCACATAGTAACCTACATACCTACTATCCGAAACCTAAGTACCCCCTAAACCCCTAAACCCTAAACCCCAAACCCTATTGGGTCCTCTGCATTCTTAGGGGTAGGGTTTGCGAGCTGGACCTAGCCTCTTCACCCATGCAAATAGGTCGGGCTTATGGTTCAGAGGCTAGGATTTTGGGGTGTTTGAGGGTTGAGCTTGAGGGTTTAGCAAGGTATATAGCAGGTTTTCAGGGTTTTGAGGTTTAGGGTTTTGGGGCTTAGGGTTTAAGAGCTTAAGGTTTGCTTCCTATGTCTTGCCTTGCTACTAGTACCACCCCGTGCCGCCTCCTTGACGTTGGCATCGCGGGTGGATTTCGAGGTGCAGATTATGGTCTCGGTCGCTTCACCCTGTGACGACCCGGTCCTTTCTCCACGAGAAATAAACCCTAAACCCTCGATGCCCGGGTCATGTGACAAATTGCTTTGTCCAGAGCAGGAGGGCATTACTCAGGAGGGCGCCTTAGGTTTTCCCTCAGGGCCCACGTGCCCAACAGCTTACACTTTGCCCTTAAAGTAGTCCCCATATGGGTACTTTAGGGCCAAAGTATACACTACGGCTGATGATATAAATCCTGCATTACCCATAGAAAACGAATATAGCATCATTCTTATAGTTTAGGGTCCTTAGGATAATCAGGGTTTATATCATCAACAGTATTTATTTGGGCACATGGCCCCCTAGGGTTGCTACCACTCAGCAAGTGAAGGCTTGCTTGCCTGTGGCGAACAGTGGTCTCAAGGGCGAGTGGGTTCAGAAGTACATCGACTGAGAATCCAGCGTGTTGTTGGAAGTGCAGCCCGCCATCTTGCAGCAAAGCTGCCCAGACATTCCAATATCTCTTAACTAAGGAGTATACCTTAAATCATTTTAGAGATCCGTTTATAGTTCAAGGATATTTAGGGCATATTCCTTACTTGAAGGATATGGCAAGGTTTGAGTAATTGAAACAACTGCCGGGACCTCGGCACGATCCAGCACATGACACTGCAATGCTGGCAGCACTCCTGTTGCTTCTGCTGGGTCTGCGGTTTAGGGGTTTAGGGTTTAGGGTTTAGGGTTTAGGAATCAAAGTTTATACCTTTTTCCTCCCTAGTTACTCAAAGCCTAGTACTACATCTCAAAACCCTACTCGAACTACTGAGCTCCCCTACATTGGATACATGAGTCTGGTTATGATCAGATCATTCGTGTGGCTCTTTTTTTGCGAACACAGGTGCAATGATGAAGCCTAATTGTCCCTGTATTTGAAGTACAATGCATCTGTGAGCTAAAGTACATTAAAGAGCATTGGTATAGGGAGGCATGCTTGATCTGTCCTGATTACGACACACCGAGCTCAAAACGGAAAACCCGAGACCATACCTAGACGTTCCTTTGCCTTTTACAGGCTACTTCGCGAGGTTGCGTAGTAGGAGAAGTCGTGTAGAGACATAGTGTGGCGGTTGCAGGGTGTACTGTGAAGACTTAGTAAGTACATTAGTCAGCAAGGTGGGTTGTGAAGACATGGGGGAATAGATTTTACCAGCATGCTTACGAAGCCGAAAGACCTAGAATTTTGCACAGAACGGTTTTCACACTTTCTATGGATCGAATGCAGAGCCGTCGCATCAATGGCCTAGACCTTAGATCCCGAACCGCAAATCCTCCAAATATAACTCGAAGACACAGGCCCTAAACGACATTATTCCTTAACGGTCCTGTATCACACACACACACACCAATACCCTATTCTAATGATCAAGGCCAATAGATTAAACCCTAAACCCTAAACCGTAGCCTGAAACCTAAACCCTAAACCCTAAAACCTTCAACCTGAAGTTTCGTCCTGAAGCCTCCAACCCGAGGCCTTCAACTCTAAACCATGCATTGCTTGGAGGGTCGGGGGACTTAGTAAGTAGCTAAGAAGTAGACTTATAAAAAGCACCAAAAGAGATCCTAATTGGGGTTCTGATACCGAAGTAGACTGATAATAAGTACCTCAAAAGAGATCCTAATTTGGGTTCTGATACTTAGAAGTCTATGTTATGACCACTTACTAAGTCCCCCGAGCCTCCAAGTACATGGCAGGTCTTCCCGGGAACATTCCACAGTTGTGCTACATCTGGGCGAGAGCGAGGACAGCTTGAAGTGGAAGGGCTTTTCTCAGAGTTGAGGGTTTAGGGTTTAGGGTTTAGGGTTTAGGGTTTAGGGGTTAGGAGTTGAAGATTATATAGTAGAAGCCATAAAGTTGGAGCATTAGAATCCTAATGCTCTTAAGGTTAAGTATAAGGGATCCTAGCAGAAATCATCCTACACTTATGTTCCAACTTTCTACGGTTCGCTGTATACGTTCTTTTGTTTTCTTAGGGTCTACATGGGGCTCGGAAGGGCTGTATGAGGCAACGGGGGTTCTAGGGTTTCTGTTGGCTCTGACTGCCAGGCCTGAACTTGAAACAGCAAGTATCACATTATGTAACCCAGAGGCTCCGCATACAGTACCATTATGGAAATTAGGTCCCAAACGACCATCCTTATTAAGGTTTTAGGGACTTAATTCCATAATGGTACTGTATATGGAGCCGCTGGGTAAGGGCCTAAATAATTACCAATACTACTTTGGGTGTTCATTAGTATATCTAGAGTATAACCGGTTTAGGGTTTAGGGTTTAGGGTTTAGGGTTAACGGGCCCCAAAACCCTATTCTAATTATTCAGGCCCCTATATTACTTACCCTACTCGAATCTGAAGGCCCAAACTTACAATCCCCCGATCCCCACACCTTTAGCCAGGGATTGCATAATTTCCTGAACTTCCACCGCAACCACAAAATAGGGATATCCAAACCACAAGTGCTGCAATTCAGGGCCTATGTACTGCAAGTCGCAGTCCCTAAGCCGTACATTTAGGCCAAGAAACCGACCTTTTAAGGAGCTGTATGAAGAAATCTTGTTAAGGACACCCAAAAATCGCAGGTTTCTTGGCCGACAGCTAAACCCTAAACCCTGAAGCCTAAACCCTGAACCCTAAACCCTGAACCCTGAACCCTGAACCCCAAGCCCTAAAACCTAAACCCTAAACCCTGAACCCTAAACCCTGAACCCTAGAACCTAAACCCTAAACCCTGAACCCTAAACCCTGAACCCTAGAACCTAAACCCTGAACCCTGAACTCTAAACGCTCAACCCTCAACCCTAAACCTTAAACCCTAATCATTATGACATGAGATGAGGCTTTGGGTGGCAGAGTCGGATTTTGTAGGCTCAGCTCTCGAGCTCCGCGCCCGTTAGGGTTTAGGGGCGTAGGGGGTTGAGGGTTTGTAGGGGTTTGGGGGTTTAGGGGGTTTAGGGTGTAGGGGTCTAGGGGTTTGGGGGTTTAGGGTTTAGGGTTTAGGGGTTTAGGGTTTATAGGGGTTTGGGGTTGAGGGTTTAGGGGTTTGGGGGTTTAGGGTTTCGGGGTTTAGGGTTTATAGGGGTTTCGGGGTTTAGGGTTTAGGGGTTTAGGGGTTTAGGGTTAGGATTTATAGGGGTCTAGGGTTAAGGGGTTTAGGGGGTTTAGGGTTTAGGGTATAGGGTTTAGGGTTTAGGTCCAGGGTAAACTCCAAAACGCCGAACTTTTGGAGAAGAGATGGGTAGTTCTCTAAATTAGGCTCCCTTTCAAAGTCTTTTTTTAAGGGGGGGGGGGCGTGGTGACCTAAAGAACGGACCCAAATTTAGAGAACTATCCATACCTGTATATATATATATATATATATGTATATATATACATATACACATGTATACACAAGGAACTCGAAAGGAACTCATGATACCCAATACCCCCAATCCTACGTAAATACTGTTTGGGAGTGGTGCTTTAGAGCAGGGCCTACGCTGGATTGGGGGAGCAGAGAAGATCTGCACAAGTTTGTGCGACTACTTCCGAGCTGTAACCCGAAGGGTCCAAGTACCTAATAATCAGATACTCATCTGAATACTAACCTACAAAACTACTAACTACCCGTAAACCGAGTACATGATTATAAAGTCCTTTGGACCCTTCGGGTAAGCGTTTAGGATTTAGGGAGGAGTTCGTCGAGTCTGAGTGGGGTTTACGGGCCGGGAATGCTAAACTCCTACACCTTCATCGCCTCAGCCCGCCTAAACCCTAAACCCTAAATGAGAAACGACAAGACGAAAACGAAAAGCGCCGGGACCCCTGGCCTAACCCTTCTCAAGCTTAGGAACCCCCCCCAGGCCCCCAAGACCCTCCTACCAGGAGCCCCCAACAGGGGGACAGCCTTTTGCGAACCAGAAAAGCCTCGGATTTGTGCTGTCGTCCTTGCAGCAGGGGCCATGCTAAGCCTCGGATTTGTGCTGTCATCCTTGCAGCAGGGGCCGGTGCTAGGCTTTAGGTTTCACACAGATTCAAAAACATCTCCCCTCCTCAGGAGGTTCCGGATGCTCTCTTGACAAACGGTAAGCGGATGTAACCTGTGATCACCTCCCACCATGAATCAGCACTCTTGGGTTTTGTGAGGATGTCCGCCAGCTGGAATTCGGTAGGCAACCAGTACAGCGGGATCTTATCTCGAACCCTTTCCAAGTTGAAAGTCTGCCTAAGAGCGGCAAGGTCTATCGCCAGACGTTTATCCGATGGAACACGCGGTACCCCTTCTCGATGCAAGTGATCGTAAAGAGATTTGCAGTCCGTCAAACATCGAAGCTTGGAGCCAGCGAGGGCTTCAACCCTCTGAAGATCCCCGTGGAGGACTGTTTCGACGAAAGACCTCACATACTGGCCCATCTCCACCGCCTCTGAGCAAGCAGTCGTCTCTGCTGCGAAAGTTGATCGGCACACGCGGGGATTTGCAGAAGACTTCCAGTCTATGACGCTAGCCCTTCCGCCCCCTTCGCGAAAACCCTGTGCATCAGTCAGAGCGATAAGGATGCCCATCTGACTCGCCACCTTGGAGTTCTCTTTCTTGGCCTTCCTAGCCTCTTCTCTTGGAAGACTAGGCTCATAGTCCATGTCCTCCAGGTCATCATCGAACTCCTCCGGGAACTCTTGCGCTGGGTCGCTGGGGCCGACCATTACTTCATCAGGTGGGTCATAAGTCTCCGGATCATCGGGATCTAATTCGAGTAACCTCTCAAGGTCATCGCGTGCCACCCGAGTAGAGAAGAGTTCACCTAGCTCCTCGGAAGTCGCTGGCCTCAGATGTTCCTCTGCGACAAGGTGGCAACGGCCTCCGAACGAGACCCACCAGTTTCCGCCTTCATGCCCTATGATCGTCCCAGGTCCTCTCCATTGGCCGCGCTTGGTCGCGACCTTTTCGATTCTGTAGAAGCAAACCAGCTCCCCGACAGCGTAACCACCTCTCTTCACCCGAGCCCTCTGGATCATCCCTTTGCGAAACTTAGAGTCAATCTGCGTCCTGAAAAAGGCCATTCGTGCTGAGGCTCGAACACTGACTTCTCGATGCCGGCGCTGGTCGCCCGACATGATCTCAATGAACCTCTCCTCATCAACCCCTGCATCGAGCTCCTCGGGTGATTTGGGATCTTTACCGAAAACGGCTTGAGACGGGGAGAAACCATGTCTACGACGAAGTTCATTCTTTGCGCTGTTCACTGCCTGCACAGCCATGTACATGTCATCTTTGGTGATAGTCTTCTCATCGATGACTCTCTGAAGGATCTCCTGATACCAGTAGCCATGACGTTCTATCATTCCCTGTTGCCAGTGTGCCTGTCCTGCAGAAGACCTCAAACGACAGCCGTGGAACTCCGCATACTTGGACACCCCAACCTGAAGTCCGCTTTCTAGATCAGCAGAGATGGTCCCAGGGGCCCCAAAGACATTGCCCCAAAGCTGAGTGAACTGCCTGCAAAAGTCATCACCGGAGTGCCCCTCAAGCTCACAGACTAAGTGGAACGTCGTAGCATGATCGATGACGGAGAGGAACTCGTGTCTCACCCTCTCAGAGTCAAAGACAGTGAAAACATCTACGCTCACCAACTGATTCATGTCGAGTAGTGATGGAAGTACTGCTGGCCTTGCGCTCCCAGTCCTCTGATTTCGGTCACATACATCACACCTCATCTTCAGGCAGGCCTTGATGACTGACTCATCTGCCCCGGCAAACCTCAAATGCCGGACAAGGTCAACTATCTTCGGGTGACCCAAGTTCTGGTGGAGTCTCGTCAGAGCTGTCTGCACATGCTTGGGAACGTTCCCCTCGAAGTGGATCGCTGAAGCTCCTAAGTGATCATGATGATCCTTTTTGTTTTCATGCGAAGACACCAAAGCCTCGTGACCAGGATCGTCACGTCCTTCGGGATAGATACCAGCTTCTAGAAGAGCTCCACCGACACAGAGGATCCAAGCATCACCTTGGTCGTCGATGGAATGAGGATTCGCATTGATAAGACACTTCATCGCTCCATGTTCCCACACAGAATCGTTCTTCTTGGCATGATACACAACTGAACCCCCTCGCTCTAGTTGCCGTTGTGCTGTGACCACCACCTTGTCAAAGTCCCGCCCGGTATCATCATCACCTTGGAACCAGACAATGTTGGGTTTGAGGATTTCAATCGTGTTCGACACATCAAGGACTTGACAAGGATCGACGTAGTCAGCCCAGCTGATGGGCTCGACCGCCTGGAAGCCGGCCTCTAACATGTCGAGCGTCAGGTCCCCCTTGCCAATCTCCAACAAACATGCCTGGCGAGGTGGCTTTCCAAGGGGCATGGTTTCGGACAGGTAGGAGGAAGCTGCTGCGAGACCGAGCGTCAACATTGAACTTGCCCTACGTGCGCCCTTCCAGATGCTTCGCCGGATGCTCTTCTTGGGCCTAGCCACATGCTCTCTCTCCCACTGCTGCGTGCCCTCTCTCTTGCCGAGTGGAAACCCACAGCTCCTAAGGACATCACGTTCAGGCCTGGAAAGCTCTCCCAATCCACGGGTGGTGTAAGCAATGATACTGCATCGGCTACCTGACCATTGTTCCACTGCATGTCTTGTCTTGGGACTAAACTTCACCATCTTGTGCCTTGTGTCAACCAAGAAGCCGGTGCCCTTCGAACCGTCCGAGAGGATAGCCTCGTGGAGCTCGTGGCCGTCAAGAACCTCGGACTCACCAGAGTGCTCTAGCCAGAGACGACCACGATCAAAACGCCCAAAAGAGATAGCCCAGTTATCACCGATGTTATGGGCATCCTTATGGGGACCAACGTGGCAGTTGAAGCATAATTGCACGCTACTCCATTGACCCCGAGCCCCGTGAAAGCGCATGAACTCATTCACATACTTTGTCATATACCAATGCTGGTAGGTGCGTCGGATCACCCCGTAATGGCAGCCGTGCGAATAGCCTCCAAACGCCACACTTTGCGTCCCACTGTTGATCTTGCGCTTCCTACTAGCATGACACTCCTTGCAGACCTGCTCAAGAAGGCCTTCGCAGGCATCAAAGCTGAAGTCTTTTCTTCTGAGAAGATCGCGCGCACGATGTTCGTTGGATCCCTCGTATGTGTCACGAGGTGCCGTCTCCTCACATTCATAGAAAACTTCCCCTGACAAGACATCCTCATCACGTGCCCCGGGGAGCACATGGATCGGAGGTGACTCGACTTCATATTCCGACTCATCAGGGAAATCGTCGTCCTCCAGCTCGCTCAGGTCCTCGTCGATCTGTTCTACAGATTGTACCGATCTTTGAGCGTCGCCAGACGTGTCATCAGGGCCTCTACCTCGGCTTTCGCCTCGGGTGGAATCTCCTGGTGCATACGAGTGCTCTCCACTGGGTCCTGGGAGCGCTTCGGTGCTGCCTTTGGGGGAAACGGCCTCTGCATCGACGCTGCGCTGTCGCTCATCGACTTGGCCGCCAACGACAGCGCCGACCATTCCGACTCCCAGGCCGAGCTCACCGAGGCATCGTCCGGAGGAAGCGGGACCGCAGGGTCCTCCTCCGGATTGTAGGCCTTGGCCGTCTTCTTGTGGAGCACTGTCTCCGCGTACGATCCCAGATTGACCAGATCCTGGCAGCAACCTTCCTTTCCCTTGGCCGCAATCTCCAGGACGCACCACTCCAAGTAGGCCCTTGGCACTTCTTTGAAGAGCTTCCCTTGGTGCCTCCCGAACATCACCACTGAGCTCCCTTTCCCCGCCGTAGTGGAGTCCCGAATCAGCAACTGCATGTGGCCCTTGGTCGCCCCGGCAGGCGGGATGATTGCCAGTTTGGCACACTCCTCGATCAACTGATCCTTGGTCATTGACGCGAGTCCTTTCGGAACGTTCCCCTCCTCGTTGGACTCCTTCTTCTTGTCTGAGATGAGTTGGCGCACCTCTCCTGTGCTCCAGCTTGGATGCGTTGTTATCCCCAGCCGAGTAGCTTCTGCTAGGAGCTGCACTTTGTTCATCTGCCAGATCGACTTCGGGGCTTCGTTGGAGGAGCTCGCCATCGAGATCAGGGGTGCTAGCCGGGAGCTCGGGAGTGGACGCACTGGTTGGCGCCCTAGAAAAGACTGTTCTACCAACCCATAGAACCGGATGTGGTGGTTGCGGGTCACCTCGCCATGCATCATGGATCATCATGAGCTCTCTCGTGTCGCTGCATGAAACTGATGATGTGATCCTAACTTCACCAATTGCATCGAGGAGCGCTTGTTTGGTGTGGCTCTGGTCGGTGTTCCAACTGCTGGGATCGAACAAACCTCGACGGGGCACAACATGTACTCTGATGAACACACTCGGAGTCTCAATCCAGAAATCCTTCGTGATTGGTGTGCGTCCCCACCAAGCGGCAAACAACTCGAGATTGAAAGGAGAGGCGCACAGGAGGTTGCGGATCGTAGGATTGATCTTCTTCGGGTAGAACAGCTTGGGTGTCAAGCCAGCCACAGGTCCTCGCGAGGGAAGCTTCGGATCTCTGTTCTGACCAAGGTTAGGCTGCTCTGCACTCTGCTCGGTACTGAAAGCCATGAATGCAGCATGCGCCATGTATTGCTTCCTGGCGAAAGGGAGTAGCTTCACCTCGTTGTCAGCCCACTCTTGGGGAGACGGGAACTTAGGACTCTGCCCTGCCCTCGGATTGACGACAATGGCGGGATGGCCGTTATCCGTAACGGCAAGCGCAATATCTCCAACACCGAGATGCTTGAACCTAGCAGTGTTCTCATCAACATCGTACACCATCCCCAAGGCGCTCAAAACCTTTCGGCTCAAAAGCAATGGCACTTCCCCATCGACGACTGCTGCTCGGACCGCGAACTGCTTACCGCCGACCTCCATCAAGACCGTAGCCGTGTAGGTTGCGCGGAAAAGTTTTGAAGCCACAAAACGGAAATCGTCCGAAGTGTTCACGAACTGGGTCTCAAGTCCAGCATTCTTCGCAAGCCTCAAGTAAGCCTCCAACCAACCCTGACCCATGACCGTCTTGCTGCGTGCAGTGTCTGTGATGGCATACAACTTGTTACCACCGGAGTCACCGACCTCATAGGCAACCTGGACTATCCCGTTGCCCTCACCGGCCGAGCTCGTCACATGCACCTGCTGGTCACCGGTCACCTTGGCGATGTTCCCTCGATGGCCTGACTGCTGATTCTCGGGTCTGTTAAGCGGACAGGTGCTGTCTTTATGCCAATGGCCACGCCTCCCGCAGCCTGCACAAAATGACCTGGATTTTGCGCGCGCTCGCCGGTCCTCCAAGTTTGCCTTAGAGGGGCCCTCAGCTGAGTCCTTCCGCGCTTCCTTCAGCACACTCGGCTCAACTCCTCTGGCTCTGGCGATTTCACGATATTTAGCTTTGGCTGTTTCTTGAGCTACGTACGCCTCATGGATGGCGATTGCATCTTCCTCTTCCAGGGGTTCGTCATCGCCGGGCGGGATCTCATCACCATCCTCATCAACCTCATCAACCGCGGCCATGTAGGTAGCCCTGACCCCCTTACCCCCTTTCGTGAAATCCTGCTGCTGAAGTCCCTTGCGAGGCTGCCATGGAGAGCGGAGCGATTTCTCGTGCAACACAGCTGCACGTTGAAGCTTAACCACATTGTACTCGTTCCCGACCGAAGCCAGTAAAGCCAACTCTTCCGAACTACTCAAACTGAGCGCGTTCAAATAAGCCCAAGCCTTGGCAACCTCTGGCAATCGACAATCGATTTCAAGAAGTCTCGAGTGGCCCCTATCGAACGCTGAGTTGAACTCCCTTATAGTCTGGCCTGGCTGTCGTCGTAGGCGTTTGAAGAATGCAGTCAAGCTTTCAGCAATCTTAGACACCTCCACTTCCTGATACCTCTCTTGAATCCAGGCCCTGAAGATAGTAAGACCATTGTCACCCGCCAAATCCTCAACGCATAGCTCCTCAGATTCAACCCACGCCCTTCCCGACAGATGTTGATATAAGAGAAGCGCCTGTTGATTCTTAGGCGTTCTGGTGACCTTACACCAGGCATCCACCTGGCGCAGGTATGACCTCGCGCTCATCCCCAGGTCCTCTCCGGTGCTCTGAGCATCAAAGCTGGGCACCGCCATCTTCTCGCTGAAAGAACCCTTGTACGGAGTGGCTTCTTGTCCTGAATTCCCATCCCCCAAAGAGTTAGGAGCCCTCGTAGATGAGTCTCCCGTCCGAAGTCCTGAAGAACTCCAAGAAGCTCTACGCCGATACTCTGCATGGTCACTGTCGTGGCCTGGAGGCTCGTGTGCTGGATGCTCGTCATGGCGCCCACCCGAGCCTCGATCATCATCGCCCTCGCCGGGCGACCCACTGGAGAAATCTCCACCGTCTGTACTCCACTCGGCCCTCGAACCCCAAGACCAGTGGGAGCGGTAGTTGTATGGCCTATGCCAGCCCCAAGCCCAGCGATCACCCCAGCGCCAGCACGAATCATCCCAGACCCCGCTGTCACCTTGATCCTGAGCCTCACTCTGGTTAGCAGCTGAAGCGTTGTGGTAGTAAGAGGTTCCTTGACTTACTTCAGCATCTGGTTGCGCCATGGGCGCGAGGATCCTACGAGACCCACAAAGAAACACAAAAGCCCTCCGAAGAGAAACCGAGGAACACAACGAGACAAGCACAGCACAGACACACTAAGTCCCAAAGAACCCGGAAAAGCGGCCCGGGCTCCGCTACCAATGAGAAACGACAAGACGAAAACGAAAAGCGCCGGGACCCCTGGCCTAACCCTTCTCAAGCTTAGGAACCCCCCCCAGGCCCCCAAGACCCTCCTACCAGGAGCCCCCACAGGGGGACAGCCTTTTGCGAACCAGAAAAGCCTCGGATTTGTGCTGTCGTCCTTGCAGCAGGGGCCATGCTAAGCCTCGGATTTGTGCTGTCATCCTTGCAGCAGGGGCCGGTGCTAGGCTTTAGGTTTCACACTAAACCCTAAGCCCTGAACCCTAAGCCCTAAACCCTAAACCCAAAGCCCTGCTGCTCCTGTTCGTGATCCTGCTGCTCCTGCGGGTCCAGTGGAAGATGTTGAAGGGGATGTACGAACTGATGAGGAAACCTCTGGTCACGCTGTTTAGGGGGTGTAGGGTTTAGGGTTTAGGGTTTAGGGTGGTTGACGGGGTGGTGGATGAACGTGGAGAGAGAAGTGGAGATTTCTGATGATGACGGTGAGTGTGATGCTGACTGAGTTGCCCGAGGGTTCTAGTACGTGCAAGCACTCTGCGGGACAGGTCATGCGGAGAAAGCGTGGCCATTACATTTAAATAAAACCCTGTAGAAACCTCATGACACCTTTATAAAACCCTCGAAAAGCCACCCTTATAAAATCCTGTAAAAGCCTAAATGACCCTAGTAACCCAAAGCCCTAAACCCTTTTAAAGCCTACATAACCCGTTCTCTCTGTTTGACCTCCAAAACCCCGGCAGCCCGAAGGACCTGTATTGTTGCGTTTTCTGCCCTGAGCAAACCCCTGCCCCTAAGGCGATCCGGTTTATTGTTTAGGGTTTAGGGTCCCTGTTTGTTTCATGTCTAGTGTTGGGGTGTGGGTTTAGGGAGTTGATCCGGTTTATTGTTTAGGGGTTAGGGTCCCTGTTTGTTTCATGTTTAGGCCTAAGGCGATCCGGTTTATTGTTTAAGGTTTAGGGTCCCTGTGTGTTTCATGTTTAGTGTTGGGGTCTGGGTTTAGGGTTTGCATCAGTACAGCCCGCAAAGGTATCATACCTACCCATTACTGTGGCTACTGTCTGACCCTTGCGAGCAGAACCTAAGGCAGTTGTTGCAGGGTCCAGGCAGGGGTTTGGGCGCGGCGGTTTGGACGGCCGTGGAGAATGAAAGCTAGCGTTTCTCTACATTGGAATCTGCAAAACAAGATGGTATGCACGCACGCTCCCAACTCTTCCAGCATGTTTCCCTGAGGGTCCAAAGGACGCACTAATTAGGGTATGTGAGTATAGTAGTTTTTTTGTTTTTTTTGTGAACTGTTGGGCGAGTATATGATTTTAAATTATAAGGTACTGGGACCTTGGAGGCTGGGGGACGTAGTATTCGTAAGTAGGTAATAGGTAGACTTATAACGGTTTAGAGTTTAGGGTTTGGGGTCCCTGAAAGGGATGTTGTAACTACTTACCAAGTCCCCCGACCCTCCGAGTGGGGCTTCGGGTTTGGGGTTTGGACCAAATGACCCTCGAAAAGGATGGGGCTTTTTACAGCGACATCCCTATATCTTATCCGGGCCTTCGTAGTAATTACGGGTTTGTGTCGGGTATTCATATCCTAAACCCAAAACCCTAAACCCCTAAACCGCAAACCCCTAGAATTAGCTTTTGCAGTTTTTGTTCAAGGCGGTTTTAGGGCAGTAGTAGACACCCCAGGACGGTACAATTACGTATATCTGGAGGGACTTAGTAAGTAGGGTTATATGTACCCTAATTGGGGTTATAATAGTTACCTTGTTTGTTACCTCAGTTACTAAGTCCCAGGATCCTTTAAGTAGGTAAGTAGGCATGCGGGATTCTGTGGCGCCCAGCTTCGGGGTTGGGGATGTTGGTTTAGGGGAATGTGAAGACTTGTGAGCTAGTGCATGCCAAGACCTAAAGGTTTAGGGATTACGGTTTAGGGTTTGGGTGTGGGTATTTCAGGCTTTGGAGCTTTGCGGTTGGTGCTTGGAGGTCAGCTTAGACGCCAGATTTGGGGGTCTCCACCCTGGGTGAGGGTGTCCGCGAGCTACTCATATTCTTTTCGTGCTTCCCTAAAAGAGGACTGGGAGTGCCGCCAAATTGTGACCCTAAACCCTAAACCCTAAACCGACCCCACATCTTAAACTTGTTTCTGAACCACACAGTGGCAATATCATGCCTAAGCCTCGGGCGTAGACGTTGCTCACATATTATCTTGCCGGCTGTGTTGTCACATTCCTGCTGTCGCAGAAGCTCCAAAGACACATGAAATTCGTCATGCTATTTTTTTTGGTGGTGTAATTAGAGGCAACGTTGTCTGGGTTACCAAGATCCCTATGTCATTGAGCTTTGTCTCTTTTGGGATCATCCGCACCAGGTATACAACCGACACCATATTCTGAGCCGAGGGTGAATGAAGGACCACAACTATGATCGAGTGTAGTTCCGAATGGATTGCACTGTTTCCAACCACTTTTTATGTGGGCTTGTACCTGTACAAATATTCATAGCCACAACTGCGCATGTAAGGTTTATGCATGTACCTGTGTATATGTATAGAGATATAGATATGTATATACACACTGTAATACACACGTATGCTTACATATGTATATACACGGGCGTAAAACCATGGCTCAAAGTTGTTTGCAGTTTGCAGCACTTTTCAGGCTAGGTCGTGAATTTCCTGAGGCGCCACAGGTTTTTCTTAATTAAGCATGCATTATCTGATGCCTCATTATATGTATCCCCTGGATGACCGTGGTAATACAGTTTTCCGCTAATGTTGAACAGCTTTTTCTGAGTTGTTATCTAGTGGGGCCGTGTTGCCCCCGATTTATATTCGGGAGTAACGACTACCGTGACCAGTGTGCTGCGTCGTGATTCTTTCGCCCCAACCTAATCTTCCACATCAAGCTTGCCGAAGAACTGCTCCGTGTTTTTTGGCAACCATCTGGTCCGAGGGTAACAACTGAAATGGGTGCCAATGGTAGTGGCGACGGCGGCGGGTCCGTGATGATGCTGGACAAAGTTTAACGGATCTTGTCATCGTTGTCGTCGTCGTTTTTCCCTCGCCACTAGGAGGTTGTTTGAAGACGGTTGTTGTTAGAGGTTTCGAAGCTGCTAGTGTCTGCTTGCAAAGATGTTGCGATTATTACTGTTGATGTTGGTTCGCGACATGTTGCGCCCAGATGCTGTTTTGGAGCGTGACGTCGGAAACATCCTTGTGTTGACACAACCGAAATATTGACAATGCAAGTACGATGTAGTGTGTCAACCCCTACAGAACTGAATTGAGAGGGAAGATGCAACACAACGGAAACTGTCAGATTGTAAGCCGCAAGATCACCAACCGAAGCCATCCGTGCTCCTGCATCTCCGACACGCCTTGCAAAAGTTGTCGTAAACCGTGTGCCGCACTTTTGAGGCTGTTGGAAATGGTAGAGGCTGGCGCCATTGCTGTTTCCATGCGTCTGTGGCAATTACGTCGTAAAAAGTAAAAGCTTGGACCCGGATGCCCGAAAGTGCAGACTTTATAAGGATCTTTCTAGAATGTAAAGTATATTCTTTATAGGGTTTTGGAAGATCTGGATATGGTAAAACATGCCGCTATTCCCCACGAAGCCTTGTAGTCTCATCCAACAGGATTTTGGTGAGATGGGTCCTGGGAAAACGCCCGGTGCCCGTTTGAAGAGGGACTCCTACAGTACGGTTCAAGGCTTTGGGGTTTTAGGGTTTCGGGTTTGGGGCTT